CAGAGCCGAGCCTCCGAGTCCCTGACTCCTCTGGTGTGAGGGAGAGAAGCGTCCATCTCGTTAGCCGTGGTGACGGCGTGGAGAGGACCCGCTCGTAACAGGTACGTTGCTGAGAAAAAAATTATTTCCCCACCTGTCGTTAATCCGGAGAAAAAGCGACGGTGTAGAATTTTATTCTCAAAGAATATTAACTGGTGTGTTTTTTATCTTCCCCTCCTCTGGTGTGAGAGAGAAAAAGAAAAAACGTCCTCGCTACCGTGGTGTCGGTAGTGAGGGAAGACGAGCTAGCAACAGGTGTGTTACTAGCTTGAAAAATCAAAACCTTACCTTTATTTCCGAAGAAAGAAACGGCGAGGTAGATTAACAGTCTCCTTGCGAAGCAGAAAAGTAGCCGGCGAGCGCCCGTCGACCGAAAGTTAGCTTTGGGTTCAGTCTGTGGACCGTTAAGCCAGCCCGGCTACCGATCTATCGAGATGTGCTCTGAAGCGAGAAGAGGTGTTTGAATGACGCTGCGACGTGGCGCAAGCTACTTATAGGGTGGGTGGATTCCCTGACGCTGACGTCAAGATCACTAGCCAATCAGAATTGGCGTAATGAGATTGATGCTTCTGTTTGCTCCGCGATGAGGCGCATCCCATAGTGAGACATCGAACGGAGTGTTATGAATGAGAACTTTGGCTCTGATGCGGCCGTTTCTCTGGCTGCAGTCACCACTCTGTGTACACGAGCAATGTCCCGCCCACAGCGCTATCTGATAGGCTATTACTGAAGTGTCAATCAACACTGAAGATTTTCCGGCCGGGAGCCAGCCAGAAAGGCGGGAGCTTCTCAGATTACAGGCAGTTTTCCAGCGCAGTGACTGTAGCAGCGAGCTGTAAACAAACACCCCAGAGAAAGCTTGGAGTAGTATGACATGGAGACCCAGAGCTGGAGTCAGCCCCATGAAGGAAACAAGGCAATAGCTGTTGCAGTGTGTGAATTACACCGGCAGCACATGAATATTTAAAGTGTGATCAGGAGAGACCTCCATTATGTGAGCTACTGAGCTGTAATGTCACGGCTGATTATGAACGCAGGAACGGTTCACGTGCTGCATTTGAACCGACAAAATAAATAAAATCGCCTTGTGATGTGAACGCAAACAGGTAGCTGTCAATTCATGCACGACTGCTCGTGTTCAGCTCTCTCCAAACATAAACATACCCATACGGGGGAGGGGGGGGAACGAATGAATGGGTTTGGAAAGCATGTTGGAAAATGGTTTCTGAAAACCCCAAAATGTGATTTGCCCTTTTCTCCAATCCACAATAACAGTATCCATAGTCAAGCCTTTTGTCACAGAGTGTAGTGTGTCAGAAGCAGTGCCACTTCCTTTATATCTCTGCTAATCTCAGGGGATCTGCTGCAAATTAGAATAAAAAATTGATGAATTATGGTGTCCGTCTACACCCTGAGTTCCTCTGCCCCCAAATCAATTTCACTGACGTTTCCCCCACAGTGAGAAAGGACTTTTTGTCAAATGACTTCATGAGAAAAAATGATAGCCATAAATTTAAAGTCAACTCCAGCTGTTATTATGATTTATCGCCGTCCTTTTGTTAATATACCACCGAGCCCCGTCATATCAAAGGCCACTGTAGGTCAGCCAATAGGATCGCTCATTATTCTTGTTGTTTGCTAAATCCAGTATGAAATTAGTTTGACATTATAATGGTCAAGAAAAGTCAACAGCTTCCGTGATAATTGCAAATTGTGAGGATACGTCCTTAGTGAACCTGGTAGTTAAAAAATGATATTCACCACACTCATATATTCAGAATTTTCATAATAGTGGTCTTGACTGGAGTATGTGAAAACCCACAATTACATCATCTGTTTGTCCGTTTCCTAGGAGTAAAACACTGAGGTTCACAGTGAAAAATCTTTTCAAGACAATTGCGGAGCATGCCAAGCTTAGGTCCTAAAAACGGCTTTTTATATTAATTTGTATTCTTAAGTTAACAGATAATTTCATTATGACACATCAGCTATGTTTAGTCAATATCTCATGCAGGAATAGTGTCCATGGGCTAACCAGCGTTGACACAAGGGCAGGTAGAAATATGGTAAGTCCTAAGTGATATCTTTATTATCCTTTTTTTATATTATTAGAAGTTTTTCATGTTACTGAAGAATAAACTGATCAACTTTCAAATGTTGGTAAAAACCTTGGATTTCCTTTGTTACATAGACAACTTAAACTTCATTATAAGTGCAATATGACTGTATTTTCAGCCTTTCCCATATGTACGTTAGTATTGTATTTCTTTTTTTTTTATTATATCTTACTTTATTATATTCTAGTTGTTAGTGCTTGCCTTTTGGAAATGTCATTCTCATGCTTTTCTTAGCTCAAACAAAGCACATTATTATGCTGTACAGTATAAATAAAGCTGCCTGTCAATTTAATTGGCGTAGTAAGACTTTAAAGATTGTTATGCTTCCTTTGCAACCACTTGCAGAGAAAGTGTTTGGTAATAAATCAAAATTTATTGAAAGCAATATGCACCTGCACCAGAAAGACCCATACTACTCCACAATTCTAGTAACTTGTTAGAACGTCTGACAATTCTTCTCATAAAACTAAACCTGAACTACCTACATTAAGAGAAGAGAAGCCTATCTAAAAGATCAAGTGGTTCACAGATTATGTATGACTAAATTGGGAGCCATATTGTGCTCGTTTTAAGGTTAATATTTGCATTTTGTGCTTCTATGGTGA